AATTGGTGTCGTTGGTAGGCACGCTTGGTGAAATTGCCGAGGCTTCCTCGTTTTCCTTTTGAGCAGAGATCGCAGAGACAGCCAAGGAGCGTCCACTGCCGAGAATCGTCATGAATCTGCCTAAGGGTCGAACTCGCACTCTCCACTAAAATGTTGCGGGAGTAAACGGCATTGCAGAATATATTTATAGGACACCTAGAGCTAGCCATACAAGGCAGAGTCAAGCCCACGCGAATACTAGCGAACATTATGTTCCTCTTTGCTGTCTTCCTCGTCATCTCAGACAGCACTCCGTAGTAATATAGTCAAAGAAGACGTGTCAGCGCCCCTGACACGTGAGTTGTGTTATACAATTGGTGACATGGTTGCCTTTAAAGATCATTTTTTCTTCCTAAAAAAGTGCGATTGAGGGTGTGCTTACGCTTCGGTGATTTTTCTCATTATCTGACCAATAGAGCGCGCCAATATTTTTGTGTCTTGAAACAACGCTTACACTCAGTGCAGTGGGAAGCCAAAATACGCATTTCAAAAGGATGTGTGAATAGCGTACTCGTGTAATTATGTTCTTAAAATCCCTAATTATTGCGTACTGCGCATAAGTATGTCCATGTTCGAAATAATGTAGGTCATTTGTTTGCCCATCACCTTGTGTTGTCTTTCGTTTACTTCGGCTCGTGTCATACCTGGCAGCGCATTACAAAATGATGTCGTACCAATGAGCCCCCGTTGCAGCTTTATTGCAGGTAGAGAAATAGAAACGTCAAATAGGTGTGTGTTTTTATCGTCATTATCAGCCGTACTACGCCCACTACACATCATAGGTCTCTCCCAGTATTCGCCAATGAATCAGGTCTCGTGCTTTTGCTGCTGCGTTATACCATACCGTCGGTATAACTTCGGTCTTTTATATACTCTTAATCAGGTCTCATTTGAAGTACTGGATATATCCGAAACTGAACATTCCCCTTCTCGTTAACTGCATATAGTTAGCATTTCACGAGGACCTGATGAAAATAATAATGGACCTGATGAAAAACGTGAGTCTGTTTTCATTTAACAGGAGGCTCAACGACTGACTTTTAGGATCAGGTCTTAATCTGCTGCTTTGCGCGAATTATTCAGTTTTTACTTAAAACATAGCACCATTAAAATAGCAAAACCAAAGTAAAATTCTGAAGTACGTGAACCAAAAAAACAAAGGCAGTTAGTGGGCCCGAGGAGTTCTCATCTACACCTGGCGTTCAAAAGCAATATGATATGCAAAGAAAGGTACATAGACGTCACAGTGCTTGCTTTCGAAGTGCGCTTTCAGTTCGTTCCGTGCCGTGAGCACCATAGAATTTGTTCCGCTTTGAGGAGAATACAACCTCACTCACTTATAGCTCTTCATCGTTTGTTAAAATTTAACGAAGAATGTTCATACGTTCCCCGGAGACGGACTGGACAGTAATGAAAAGACACTAATTAAATTACATTTTTGTTGTAATCACTATACAAGGAATGAATCCAAGCGGGTAACTTCAAAGAATTCACTCATTTGTTTCCAACTCATTTTAACTGAAATATAGCATGTCCACTGCCCTTAAAATAAACCAAAAGAAAAAATCACAGCATATCTACGGACTGAATGATGATGAGTGGGGCAAAGCACTGCAGGGTTTGCTAATCCGTAAACCATCCGCGAATATCGCCCACTACATCATGAAATACGTGACAAACACTGTGTATATTTATATAAGCAAATTTTATTATTCAGAAGTGGTAGTAGCTATACGTCACTTCAGTCCCCCCTTCAATGTAACGGCTTTTTGATCGGTGAAGTGCAGGATCGCTGATGGGGCGTAGTGGGATGTTTGCAAGGACGAAGTAGTGGGCAGTTTGCAAAGGTGATACATACATACCCACGCCTTTAGGAGCATCGCCCTAAAAAGGAAAGAAAGATAAGAAAGTCAAAATAATGTGTATGTCAAAACCTCAAGCACTGGAATGTGGTGGGGCCTATAAAAACCGCCAAGCCCACGCGGAACGCGCAGAACAGTCACAACAAAAGCTGGAATGGCAGCCTTTCTAGAGCATTTTTTAAACACTCTTTGGATAACCGCTACAAGCACTCTTTCACGCTGCCCACAACGCGATAAATCTTAATTTTCGTTTATAGAAGGAAAGCATTCATTACACGAACCTCTGTCATTCTCCAGAGAAGCGTTGGTACCCGCTACACACTCGCAAGGAGAGAGAGAGAGCGATAAAGATGCAAGGAAAGGCAGGGAGGTTAACCAGACGCACATACGGTTTGTTATCCTGCACTGGGGAAGGGATAAAGGGGAGAAAAAAGGTTGCAGAGGAATTTCGTACAATTCTTTAGTGCTATGTAGCCGACGACGATCAAGAATTATGCCTGAAGCTTTTGTTATGGGTTGAAGCATTCAACGACCTACTCGTCACGCAATGTGTGACACCTGGTTGTTTCTTTGCTGTTCTAAAACGCTTTATTACTTATGTTAACGTGATTCCTATCCCGACATGGAGCCTGTTTAGGGTCAGTTTGCGAAAAAGCTTCAAGCACTGGAGGACGCTGACAGAAGACCAGTAAGACGGTACTTTAAAGAAAATATATCAAGATTTGTCGATGTAGTAAGAACAGATGAATGTATTAATTCATGGTTACAAAGGGTGGAACCCTTGTTTAAGAACAGGAATTTTTTAGGCATAATGCCCTTTAGCAGTGATTGAGGGACGTATGACCGTTTGATCTGTCATGTTTGTCATGAATCGTAATGTATTTAAAATTTCCTTTTGTGGGCACGTCCAACCGGAAATTAAAAAAAAACAGACCACGTGACTCGGTGGTAAAATACTGGGTTCCACGCAGGAAACACGGGCTCAAATTCCACTGCGTCCTTGGTGTTCTTTATTTAATTCGATGTCTTTTTTTTATTTCGCGTCAGAGGGATTACGGACACCGGCGTCGCCGGCAGACAACTACGGTGCTCAAAATTGACCCTTTTTTGTGATCTCATAACACTTTTCGCTGTAAAAGGTTGCGCAGCATCCAAATTCGAAGCCATGAAAAACATTGCTTGAAGAAGACGCAAGATGAATCTCCAAGTAATTTGATTACTTCTCAAAACTAATAGCAATAATAACATTACCTCTGGACAGCTGTAACTTCTATGTGTATCACATGTCAAATAAAGTTACAGCTTTGCCGCAAAGGCAAAACAATGAACGCGAGAGCAACGAATTGGAAGATCACGCGTGGAATGGCAACCAGATCGAAACGTGCCCCACGTTTATCGCGCACAAATGACGCACGAAACGTACTCACAGGTACAGATGAACGTAAATAAGCATCTCAGTTTTTACTTCGCTGTGTCGGAAAAGCATGTCCTTTTCCCAAACGGAGAGTGTGCAGCGATTGCAGTGACTTTTGTGCGCCCGGTAACTGCAAGAGAAACGTTCTAGTAAAGCCAAACGCCACCCAAGACGTACGATCATCCCCCGCACCGCGAGATAAGGGCACGCGAGCGTGCCTCCACCTTCTCCACTCTGGCGGCAAAGTACGCGCGGGAGATCAGAACGTGCGCCACCGCGTGCTCATTGCGCCATGTTGCTGGCAATGCTTGAAACACGATAGTTCCCCCCGAGATGCCCATCACTAGTGGAAAGTGGCAGATATGAATAGCTTGCCGTTTGAGCGTTCAAGGGGTGCTCCTCGGTCGCTCAGTGGTTAACACCTCGCATTCACGACACAGAGGTTCCACGCTCGATTCCGCGCGCTGGAGTCTTTTCAGGATTGTTTTTCTTTCTTGCGTTTTCAGATATATTGATTGATTTGTGGAGTTTAACGTCCCAAAACCACTATATGTTTTTGAGAGACACCGTAGTGGAGGGCTACGGAAATTTCGACCACCTGGGGTTCTTTAACGTGCACCCAAATCTGAGCACGTGGTCCTACAAAATTTCCGCCTCCATTTGAAATGCAGCCGCCACAGACGCGATTCGATCCCGCGATCTGCGGGTCAGCAGCTGAGTACCTTAGCCACTAGACCACCGCGGCGTGGCGTTTTAAATAGATACGCATACATATACGGTGAGTATAATGCGTATCTGCATGGCGGCAAAATTCTGGCAGCAAATATATGCACTGGCGGCAAAATTCAGCGGAGAATGTCCATATAACTGCTATCGCAATGAAAGTATAGAGACGTTACAAGTGATATATTTCAAATGCATTTTAGAAGTAATTTCCTCGCCTCTACCCAGGTTCGCTGAATGCACGGAGAGAAAGAACCGACTTTATTTCGTGTAGAGCGCGTCGGCAGTTTGTTCTTGGTGGCATCCGGTGGCGTAACTGTTTTTATTTTATTATCCAAAAGATTTTTTTCTTTGCCTCAGCAAACAAAAAGCCGTTATTATATTCCAGTGACAATAAATAGTAAGTTTTACGGGTCCTGTTTTGTTCGGCGAAGAACGCATCCCATTTCACAACAGCTCAAAACAAGTTTAAATATCTCTCGCGGCAACCGTCAGGTGCCCCATTTATCTGCTGCAAGATACGACATTTTAAATTACGCTTGATCCACAACATCAGACGCGCGCCGGGCGCCCACCTTGATGTATTTTTTTCAAGAACCCCGAGCTCAAATGTATACCCTCTCCTAGCTGCAATTTTCAAATATTATTATTATCAAGTTTGTTGTTTTTTTCTTCCCTAAAAGGCAACGCACTCATCTTTACAATTACATATTCTTTTAACAGCAGTCTTTAAAAGTCTTTAAAAAAGCAGTCTTTAAAAGTATTTAGAATATGTATGTAAGTGAAATAATTACTCAGCATTGCATGTAAACTGCGATTGCACCTGACTGAATTCAAGTGATCTTTCTACATCGAGAAATATATACATTTGCTTTTCGTGCCTTAGAAATGTGGTATTACTTGTTGGATTCTCTTGAAGGTGCCTAACTGTGGCCTCCTTTGCGCTTATTTTGCATGAACAGGACTTCAACCCGTTCATCGCTATCCTCTTTATCACGGATGTCTTCATCGCCGTCTTAAACGTAAGTACGTTTCTGCTCTTGCATAACAGTGACTTCCCTCATCATGCTCAACTTTTCCTTTAAGTGTTGGCCTACAGTAAATCAAGTACTTCCTGACAATGATAAAAAAAGTTGGCAGATCCCGCGTGCAGTGGGAATCGATGACATGCGAAGCACGAATGAGGAAGGTTGATATGTCACTTTAAAACAGGCACAAAATTACGAGGCAGACGTAAATTATGCCGTGCATGACTTCCATGTCAAGATTATTATGTTTGAAAGTGTCATTTACCTTCATCTTCTATTCACGTCACGTGATACCAATATTTGTGCATGTGGAGGTAGCGAAACGGCCGCGAGTACGCTATGATCGTAGCATGTATTCACATTTTACATGAAACGCATGTGTTGATTATCATGTTTGGACGTTTCATATACTTTCGTCGTCCATTCACGTCACGTAATAGCAACTTCAACGCAACGTCACGTATTAGCAAAACTCAATTAACGTCACACACACAATGTTGCCATTAATTCTGGCAAGCGAGGTGAGCGTTTCGAGGCAAGTTGTAAAATTCATTTGAAAAGAATTTGTAGAACTCTCAAGCCTGCAATTTGGCGTGAATGGCACAAACGTGCAAAAGAACGTACCCAGAGAATTTCATTGAGATTCACTGACCTCAAAAAATCGCCGGAGTTGTAAGTCTTGCCATGGACGGAGCACCGGCTACGCCGTCTGTGCGAGCATTTCAGCGCAAGTGACAGGCTGAATTCAACCGTCTGGTAGACAGCTAGATGACACGCAATGAAATATTAAGCGAAGGCCATTCCTGCTTAAGCACTAGTGAACAGACACCAGATTACCAGGTTTACCACCAAGCGTGGTAGCTTGCCATGATCGAAGCTCGCGCAACCCCCGACGCATTGATAGTCTCTGTGAAACTAAACCAAACGTACCTTTAACGCGTGGCATTATCACGGGATTGTGGCATCGACAAAGCAATAGTCGGCGCAGTGGTCAGCGTCTTGGGACGAATCTCTTTATTTGAACCAACTTGTACAGCGGAAGCAAAAAGTTAAATACCTGCAATGCACGCTGATAGCGAAAAGCACTGTCATCCGTTGTCAGTGAAATATCTACGCTAAGGTGGGTCGTCAATTCCACACGTGGCATCGAAGATTGCAGACTAATTGTTTGTGACCACGTCACTTCCAGAATGAACAAACAGTATTTGGAAGGGGGAGGGAGTACATTGTAAGTGTTTTGTCACATAACGGAGGAAGACGGAACGAGAGGACGAGAGGCAACAAACAGCCAGAAGGCGAGCTGGGAAAATAAGGAATGTTTTTTGGTGCACGAAGAAACATATGATTATTGTGAATGATTGCAAATATTGGTAGGCCTTGTTTCTTAAAGCTTAAGGTATAAGAGTGTGATAACTTCAACAATTTGTTTGTGTTAATGACTTGAGTTGACGACAGGCTCTGTTGCAATTTGACTATACTTTCGGTGGACGATCTGTTGGTCACAGAGAAAAAAAAATCACAGCATATCCTCGGAGTGCATGATAATGAGTGGGGCGAAGCTTCCGTTCGTTCTTGCTTCCGTCCGTCCGCACGTCCGTCTGTGTGTTCATCCACTTGTCCGTTCGTCCATGCATTCGTCTGTGCGTCCGTCTTTCATTCATCTGTCTATTTGTGCGTCTGTCCATCTAGTGAAAACTCCAAGTACCGCCATGTCACATTTTTTCATCATATATTTAGCATATAGAAGTACCACCATTTAGCGGACATTCCAAGGACTAAACGAGAGGTGGCACTTACTTACGGCCTGAGCTTCGTGTCTACTTCCCACCTTTCACCGCCTCTAGTCCATGGATATATTCACTAGTTCACTATATTCACTAGTTCACTATATTCATGGCACTGCGGCCCAATCCTCACTAAAGCTTGCTAAAACCAAGAAGGTTACACCCAGCGAGTTTGACGTGGCAACCCTTTCTGGTCAGATAGTGCTCGAAGTGCGTCCTTCTGATGCTAGTTTTTTTTAATAAGCATCAAATTCAAGGCAAAAATTTATTGAAGATTAAGTCACCAATATTCTTCTCTGTAAGTTATTTCTTCACTGGCAGGAACAACTATCTTTTTATTTATGATTAACGTACGCGGGTTTCCTCCTCAATTGAAAAGGATGCGCTCGCGCCTCTAGTCCAGCTGCGGTGGTGGCTACCTACTACTATGACGACTACATACTTCGCGGACGCACGACACATGGCATAGAGAGCTTCGCCCCCCCCCCCCTAAGAAGCCGCCGGGTATGTAAATACTCCCATGTCACACCTCTGATTGATTGATTTCTGGGGTTTAACGTCCCAAAACCACCATATGATTATGAGAGACGCCGTAGTGGAGGGCTCGGGAAATTTTGACCACCTGGGGTTCTTTAACGTGCACCCAAATCTGAGTACACGGGCCTACAACATTTCCGCCTCCATCGGAAATGCAGCCGCCAAAGCCGGGATTTGATCCCGCTACCTGCGGGTCAGCAGCCGAGTACCTTAGCCCCTAGACCACCGTGGCGGGGCATGTCACACCTCTGACCGGGCTATCAGCACAAGTGCCGCTGCCAAGCTGTGTGCTACACAGCAGCAGTGTCGTGTGGTGGCAGGGACAGTATGCTCTCGCCGAGACGCTGCATGGTTTGTTTCTTGAACTGTTCACGAGAGGGCGTCTCACAAGTACGCAGAAGGGAGATAAAATACCAAAATAGTGAGAAAAAGAGGTCATGGAAGCCTGAAGAGACAGAGTGATAGAACATTTGTTTAAGTTTTTCTTTGGTACAATAACATCGAAATAATCGAAGTAGATAAGGCATTAGGTCAACATAGAAAAGAAAGTTTTCCTTTTTTTTTTTTCTTGCGAGCCTGGTGGCACACATGTCAGCGCCCCGCTATATTGGGGACTCATAGCATCCATTCATCTATCGAAGGTAGATTGGGGTGAGCTATATAGACACAAAGCAGCCGACTTCAAGCGTCTGCGCCCACGTTTCGATCCAGTCTATGCCGTCCGGAGACCGTTTTGTATCTATTCTATTGACAGAACTACAATGTCCTAGATAAAGTGTATTCTAATATAATGGGGTTTCCGCCATTATGTGCTCGTTTTTTTTCTGGCTATTCTCACGTCTTGATCGTCAGGCGAGCCTCGACCAATCCTGTGCGATTCCCTCCTGTCGTCCTCTAGTTTCGTCCCTGCCCCGTTCGGTGACAGGATGCGTACAAAACAGCCCCCCCCCCCCCCTCCGTTCTCATTGTGCACTCAAGCTTATCAGACAATTCAAAAACGATCTCAATGGTTCCTGAATACTTTGGAGTGCTTCGTGCAAGAAAGTGATCACACGTGTAACGAACCAATCACGTAAAAATATAAAGAGAAGCGCAGGCAGTGTTATCTAGGTTTACAAGAAGCAAACGTCAGTCACTTTTTAAAGGGGCCATGAAACACTTTTTTAAAGTAACCATGGAATAAATTCACTAAAAATCTTATTGCCTCATGAATTCAACAACGCAGAAATTTTAAAAATCCACCCAGTACGAGCGGAGTTGCTAAAATTTATCGCACGCTGCAATCGCATTTGTTCTTCTCTCGTCGCGGTGAAAGCGCTGAAAGCTAAGGAGGGAGGGATGGCATGGGCAAAGAAAATACGTCACGCACGCATCGTGACCTCCAGCATTCTTTTAATTTTCTTTCTTCGAATGCGCGGCTTTCTCAGTGTGATCGTGCGCGTATAGACAAGTCACGGCCTCTCGCGGTGATCCCTGTATTGACCGAGCACACCATGTTTAAATCCACTAATGAATGATAGAGAGCCTTCTGCGAGTGGTTTTTGAGCTACCCGTGTCATTTGTCGAGAGAAGAGAAAGCAATTTTAGCTCACTTCGATAATTTATTGTGAATTCCAGGTCACGCGCTGCGCTGTAACATTCGGCTGGCATGTTCTCGGGAGTTTCTACAACTGATCAGCAGCGTTTTCTGACCATGCTCAAGAAGTGTTGCACGGCCCCTTTAATCATTATTCTATATGTTAACTCGCATAAGCGCATGCGCCAAGCGCAGCGTAGAAGTAGGGAGAAACGAAGCAGCAGCAACTTCCACCGGGGAAAATCACACCGCCTTCGGACTTTTTCGAGAGAAGGTAAACAAATATGAGACTACGAAAGCCGCGACCGAATGAGACGTGCGGTGTTGTAATACTTACCTGAAAAGTCTTTGCCTGCACTTTTCAGTACTCCAGGTAGTCCAACTCCCCCCTGGAAAGGATAAGAAAAAAAAAGAACTAAAATGAGCCAAACGCATACGGTCATTGAGGTTTTCGAATGTGCTTCGCAGTTCACGCTTTTTTTTTGTTCGTTATTGTTGACAACTATTGCAGTAGAGCCACTTGCGTTGAAGCTCCTTCGACTAAGCTAGACCTCTTTGTTCTGAGAATGAAAGCAGTTGAAAGCTGCTATAGTCTGCCCAGCTCTCCTGTGCAGTGTGACAAAAGAAAAAAAAATGAAGCTTCACCGAGGGCACTTCAACTGCACTCCTCTTTCAACTGTCTCAAATGCGTGTCTTTTCTCCTGCTGAAGCAAGGTACGTCCTGCAGTCTTACGGGTGGAACTTCGTTGTTGCACCTTTTGTCGTCTTGAAGGCGTTTTACGTGTGATTGCACTGTTTCAATTTCTACACCATGCTTCTTCCCGTTATTTTCTGTGGTAAAGTGGTCCCCAGCACGCCAAAATACTGTCAGCAAGAAGCGCTTTCTTTTATAAGTTTATTATGGCCTTCCTACCTGTCTAGGAATAGTGCACGTGTGTCCATTCGCGGGAAATTCAATCTAACGTGGCATTGAATGCAACGGAGAATTGAAAGACACGCTGGGAGCTTCGTAAACTCGCGGAGTGGCGTACTGGAAGCATCTCTATCCAGAGAGGAACAGGAACACTGTTGGTTCTTCTTCTTCCACTTCACATTTC